TCTTCTATGTGGCTTACAGAATTGTGTTCATTCTCAAAATTTGATCAATTGATTTTAATTAAACTTTGCCATTTTCCATTAATTGGAATGAGGAATTCAAAAATGTAATAAAAAATGGGGGTCTGTGACTTCATTTTTGAGATACAAGGACATAGAACAAGTGCATGTGACAAAGCAATATTGCACAACTTTGTCAGGTGATGTCCCAAAGTCACTAGCCTATTTATAGGCTTATAGGATATTTTTCTAAAATTTGATGGCCTGATTTTGATGAAATTTTGTCATTTTCCATTAATTGTGATGTGGAATCCAAAAATCTAAATAAGGGTCCATTTAAATGTAAAAAATAGCAGTCCATGACTTCATTTTCAATATACAGTGGAGTCAAAGTTACAATGTCGGTGCTTGCTGATGCAATTGAGCATGCCTAATGCAGTTTAGGAGAAAAAAATAAAAAACAGCATTGTGTACCTCTAATGGAAAATAGGCACAAAAAATGAACAAAACACAAGAATAAAGCAACTGATAGTGATCGCTTTGTTCTTGGATCACCTCTCCATGTCGGCAAATCCAAGAACGTCTCTCCATACCTGGCCAGCGCAAGGAATGCATCTTCTGGGACTGGGGCCAAGCAGGATTATGGAAAGGCAGAGGCAGGAGAGTATGTTCCAGGGCACTTTGATGATGGGGTTCCAAAATTTCAAAATTATTACATGGGCAAACTAATAAATTCATAGCAAACTGTCACACACAAGTATGAAAAATTATATTATGAAATATAATATGCATTATACGAGTATTAATAAAAAGTGATTTTACAATTTTTAAATTTATAAGAGACTAATAAAAAGCTTATCCAAAATGCACCATATTTAGGTTTGTTCCTGATGCAAATACTCCAGCTACATATAATAGGTACAGTGGCAAGGGCAAAGTTCACCTGTTTATGACCATCAAGTATACAGAATTGAGCCACCTCTTCTGTGCCTAATAAATGCAAAGATCAATTTTTTCTTTCAAGCTCTGTCTCATTTTTATCATGATATGACAATGTTGAGTGATGTCCTAGTTTTTAATTACAATTAATGGCTTTAACAAAAACACCCAAAAACATATAAAATGTAAATTATTAGAACTCATTTGAGTTTTGTTTATTTATATAAAACTTCTATTATATATTTATATTGTGGTGATACACCAGTTGTTTTTTTTTATATTTGTATTTTGTATTAAGCCTAAGATTAAGTTTCCTCAATCTTTTGTCTAACACTTTCTCGAACTTTCTAACGGTCCTTATTCCCTGCTGGTGGTAAAACATTTCTGAGAAATACAACGAAAAACAAGGGTGTGGAAGAGGCCCCGAGGCAAGTGAGAGAAAGGGTGAGAGGGACTTTGGAGCTAGTGCTGGGACAGGACGGACAGTGCGAGGAGATCCTGGTCGCCGTAACGAAGGAGAAGGGAGCGATTCGAGGACAACGAGAGCGAGATATCACGGGAAGGAAGGAAGATCACGGTAGTTCATTATTCATCGATGTGAGTGAAAATCTGAAGAGAAAATAAGAAACACGGGTACCCCACCAGCAGTCTTCCCTTTTTCCTATTCATAATATTAATATTTTCCCTTCATTCTACTGTCTAATTTAGTATATAGATTAGGTTAAGTTAGGTTAAGATAGGTTAAATACAATTCTACATTGTCGCGAAGTACTGTTGCACTCTCTTTCCGATATAGTTATATGTTACGCGAGTTGTATGTATCGGAGTTGGGATCACTAAGAATATTGCATACTTGCACGAACAACAATAAAACTATTGTTGTAGACCACTTTCTTTGTGTTGTCCATCCACGTGCTCTCCACAATATAATAAATATATAATAGAATATATAATAAATATATAATATTCTTTAATATTATATTATATAATAAATATATAATATTCTTTATTATATATTTATATAATAAAGAGCTCTCAATGATAACTCAATAATTTTATTTTATAAAAAATATAAAATTAATTAGTGGGTAAATATAACTTAAGTCACAAATGCCTACTATTCAGCAAAAACTTGTGAAGAATAAGTGTTTTTGACCTTTTTAAACTGTCAGCATCAGATTCAAGATTATATATGGATTGGAAACTTGTAATATTAGTAGGGCCTACTGGAAGTTTTACAGGGCTTTGGGAAAAAATTATTAGGGAGCCCTAAAATATTTCCAAACAAAAATTTTCTTAGTTTATTCATTCTTGTCCAGCTCACATTATAGTATCAAAACTTTCACCTTTAAACTGAAAATTTTATTTATAACTGTTACAAAATGTTTTTCAGGCCTATTTATGAGCCATCCTCAGGTGTTTTATCTTTCTGTTTTAGAATAACCAAAATTCTCTGAATGCTTTCAAATCAAATTTTTAAAACTCAAATTTTACAATCAAATCATGTATGATTGAGGCAAAAAAGTAGTAGTGTTTTCTTTTAATTTGTCATAATTTCTTTTTTGATGGCGTATCTCTGCACTGTCAGGGTAAACAGAAGAGATATGAAAACTTTCCCAAAGTGTGGAAATGTACCATCATCAAATGAATTAGTACAAATTTTAAAAAAAATTCAACTACTCATTTGCCTCAATGTTATATGATTCAATTGTAAAATCTTGCAGATTCAAAAATTTGATTTTGAATTATTTGGAGAATGTGAGTTATTCTAAAACAAAAAGATAGAACACCTGACAATGGCTTATAAAGAGGGTCAAAAAACATTTTATAATGATTCTAAATAAAATTTTCTAGTGTAAAAGTGAAAACTTTGATACTAAAAACATTTTTTATTAAAAGATTATATAATCTTATTAAACATAATTTACAAACATTAAATACATACACTTGACAAAGAATCATAAAAAACAAAAAATTATATTATCAAATTTTCTTAGAAATGTGAATATGAGGGGCACNACAACACTGTGAGTGAGAAGGTGTTGAAACCAGTGGATGAGAGAGAGCTTGCACACATGGCACCCAGGCTCAGGATGCCCTCAGCAGATCACTAGCCAAGAGGTCTTCCTGGTCTCAATCCTGGTCTCAATCCTGCTTACACTTTGGAGTGATGTACCACCATCACAGCTGGTTTGATGGTCTGGAATGCCATCACATACAGCAGCCTGTCATCTCTAGTAGTAATCCAAGAAACCATGATAGCCCAGTGGTACGTTACTTGGGAGTACTGCCATGAGAAGCAACCCATGAGGATGCAGGATGCCAGCCTCATGGTTTGCTTTTCATTACAGTGCTCCCAAGAGCCTTTTACCAACAGGACAATGCTCGACTACACACATCAAGGGTATCACAGGACTGCCTCCACCACATTGCCATACTTCCCTGGCCTGCCTAGTCCCGATCTGTCACTGACTGAACATGTCTGGAAATACTTGGGACACCAAATTAGATAGCCAAGGAGTTTGGCCAAACTAGAGGACTGCTTGCAGCAACTATGGACCGAGATGCTGCAGGACACCATATGGCACCTGTATGTCCCATGCCTGCCCATATCACATTGTGTATTCACCCTAGAGGTGGCCCAACATGGTACTAGAACCTCCTTTCATTTGTAGTTTTTCCTGCAATAAATGATTCTTTTGCTTTCATTTTGTAATCACTTATTTAAATCACCTTCTTGCAAGCCTTCTTGGTGCACTAATTTTTATAGCAATGTATATTTCTTCTCTAATGAGCTAATAAATATCTTAAAGACCAATGATAATATTAAAGCCAAATCAGGACACATTCCTGCTACTAATAATTATTAAACACTAAGTAATTTGGCACTAGAGATAGGTATTAGGTGCCATCTCTTATTAAATTTAATAATTATAATTAAATTAAACATAAAAAATACTTAAAACTGAAAAAAAAGAAAAAAATGCGTTATTTTTGAAGAAAAAGCTTCAAAATTTATTTTAAATTATAATTTGTTACTAGAGTGAGGCATTAGGCACCATCTCTTATTAGATTTAATAATTATAATTAAATTAAACAATTTTAAAACTTCTGGAAGATTTGGCCTGGAGCAGGACTTGAACCCACAACTGCCACTTACTGTGTGGATGAGTTGTCAGTTATGCCACCTAAGCCTTCATTCCAATCTCCTCTTCCAGATATATTACTTACCTCTTAATAAATAACCACACATGATATAATTCAGTAGTTGTTGGCTTATTACGTATGTACAATAGAACACTGGATTTGTAGAGGTTGATTTTTATATACAATATATATACCATGCCAGGATTGTGCAATAGCTGGCTGAGTGCCAAAGGTGAGTGTCCACAGGACATAGACACTGAATATGTCCCTAGCTGGCTGCATATGTAACCAATGATGATTATGTCATGTTTTAATATATCTGGAAGAGGAGATCAGAACTGAGGTTCGGGTGGCCCAACTGACAATTTGTCTGCATGGTCAGTGGCAGTTGCAGATTCAAGTACCAATCCAGGCTGATTCTTTTCTTCCAGAATTTTCTAAATTATTTAATTTAATTATAATTATTAAATATAATAAGAAATGGCACCTAATGTCTCTATCTAATGACAAATTATTAGACAAATTTAAAATAATCACAATATAATAGTCCAATCTAATATTGTAGTTGTTAGCTTAATACATATGTACATCAGATTTATAGAGGTTGGTTTATGTATATGTATAGCTTTTCAATTCTGTACATTTTTGCAAATACATAGACAAGATTAGCAGATTTTATGAGTGTAAAATAACCAGACACAATATCTGAACTTAGAAATATTATTTTAATGAACTTAACCATTATTAACATAAAATTTTTTATGGTAATAAAATTGTTGCATTTATTATTTCAAAACTCAACTTTAGAGTAGAGATTTGTAGTACTGCGACATCAATGAATCTTGTCAAATAAAAAACTTATTTCATATTATGATGAATCTACAACATAAAATAAAGCTTAAAATAAACAACTATACCTTTATTTTAGATCCATGTTCAACTTCAAAAATCCAATGACAATCAGTATTAGGTGGATAATTGTTAGGATAAGATGGTGATGAAATATTAGATTCACTATCCTCAATTATTCCTCCACAATCTATTTTAAAATGCAATAATTTTATTTTTATTTTATTCTAAATTACAATATTCACTTTTAAAATTTAATAAAGTAAAAAAATTGTAAAAATTGTTTCTGTTATAATTTTCATATTTTAACTGCATTTCTTTACTGAAATATAATTTAAAGTTTCATTTAATGACAAAGTTCCTTAAAATAATGTAGTATATTAATACCATTTTGATTGTGTATAATTTTTAGAATAGTGTAGTTTAATATAGGATGTAAACATTAGTATTGTTTCCCTCTTTGATTTCATATTTTTTTTGTACTTTCCCATAGCAACCTGGCATTGAGACCACCAAGAAGAGAAGTTGGTAGGTGACCATGTAGTTATTTATAGCCATTTTATAAATAGTTACCATATAAGATTATTGTGTGAACCTATCATTTTGTTTTGTTATTGATAGAATTTGTTATGTCAAATAATGTGATTTTGTTAATTTCATTCCTTTTTTCTGTTTTCTTCGATTTTTTTAGTTTAATATTCTCATTACCAGTCTTTATTGTAGTCTTGATGCTGGAATCATTGATAGAATATGGTCTTATTGATTTAATTTGAGATAATTACACGAATGAGAGGTGGTTGTGTGGGGGTGCAAAATATCGTGTGAATGAATCAACACAATAAAATATAAGTGCTCAACCAGGGAATAAATTTATAACAAGCGTGCTTGGTGGAAACAACGCTTATTAAGGGGAATCCACTGGACTCAATAGGGACTAGACAAGACAACCGTTGAATACTATAACAATATTTCTTTAATATACTTGGGAGGATACAGTACTCCCAAGATAAAGATGAGACACAAGAATACAGAGTCCGACAAATCTAGTATATCGTGAATCGATAACAAAAATCTCCCGACAATAAATTGCTCAAGCTGACGTAACAAGAATACATGGAAACATACTGACATAAATGAGGCTTCGACGATCTTTTCTTCTCTTCCACTCCGGGTAGGGAAAAGTTCCAAAGTTCTAAAAATCTCTACGGACTTGCTTGCACAGGCTCTATATCTTCATTCCCGCACTTCACTCCACTGTCCTTACTCATCTCCCGTTTTCTCCACTCTCCACTTTCCTTCACCCCTCTCCCTGAGACACACCCCGACCATAAAACACTCACCCCTCGGTCACACACCCCTGAATTACATAACTCCTCTCCACCGAGTTAGACCCACCACGTGGCGAAAGGGGGGGCAAGAACAGATGTAAGGCACAGTTGATATGTTTACATGCAATGCCGTTGGTTGAAAGGAAAATAAAGAGTCAAAAATCATGTGGAAGAAAGCTTTTATCTTGATTCTGGTTGTAGAGAGAAGCATTTTCAGATTGTGAAAAAATACAGGTTTGTTTCTGATCTAAAGAAGTTTATAAGGCAGATATAAGTAAATAAGAAAAGGAAAGGTGTTACTGAAAAACATAAAAAACAACTAAGTCCTTAAAATTTTTTGATTAAGTTTTATGGTAAACATTTAGTTATTGGACCCTACATATCACTGTTCTAATTGTGGCCAAGTAAATGGATCTAAAAAGTCTTCAAGCTTTGAACCAAAGAATCATTGATAACTGTGATGTTCTATGTGAACGGGACTAACACAAAGTATGTTACACAAGGAACAGACTTTATTTTTGCATTCAAACAAAGAATTTACAGGCCCCAATTCTGATACAATTCCCAGATTTACCTTTCTGATAATAGTATATACAATGAATTCTTCACGTGTGGGATGTTGTTACAATTAACAATTTTTATGAATCTAATATATGGTAGTACAGATTTACAATTACAGATCAAATTCTTAGCCTATAACTTAACCTACTTAGCACTAACTGAAAGAAGTAGGTATATAGATCAAAGATAAAGAAAAGGAAGGATTCATAGGAAAGGAGTACCCAAAATCTAGATGAATCTTTCGATATGCTGACTCGGTTCCGATTCTAACATTCTTACAGATGTGCTGCTCTGAACTTTTTATTCTTCTCAAAGTATAGGATTTTCTTTGAGGAGTCTTCCATTTAAGTCTTGATTATGATTTTCTTATAAGTATCTTACTCTGATATTGCACTCTCCAGCTCTTGTCAATGCCGAAATGACCTCTTGCCTCCTTGGTGCCCAGCCAAAAAGTGTCTCAGCAAAACAAGTTTTGCCCTCAGGACTTCCTGCATTCTATTGTTTGTCATCCCACACCCTGGTAGAGAAGAGTTGGGTCCAAAAATTCTTGGAATACAGAAAACAAAAGACACACAAGAACAAAGGGATAGAGAAAAATAATTAACAGAAATAAGACATGAAATTAAATCTATACATAAAATATGGCATACTGCCACATAATACAAATTATCAAACAAAGACTCTTTGGGTATACTTGGACTTATTGTGAAGGTTCCTGTTTTATATACTGTCTCACTACTGAATTTTTGGATTAAATTTTCACATCCTAGAATTATTTAATATTACTAGAAATTATTATTTTAATCAAATGGTATTCAAATTACTTAATTTTATCTGTATATTATATATGAACATTTTCTAATAAAAATACAAACTGATATCATTTGAAATATTATAAGAACTAACTTTGAATACTATACGATGCATTAAATCCTCTGGCAGTTCTATTTGAATCTGTATGAAATGATATCAATAAACCTGAAGATGGAGTTGTAACAACAATTTTTTCATTAGTACGATTTCCACATAATCGTTTAGAATTTCCAATTACTTCTGTAAGGTCACCTGAAATAATAAAATAATACAGATTAAATTTGGAAATTTTAGCTTTTTAAATTTAAATATTTAGAGTAACTTTTATTATTAATTAGATTATTTGTTACTTTTCTACATTTGGAAATTCAAAAAGATTACAAAAGTTATTTATAAAATAATACATTTTGTAACTTTATTACTAAAATATATGTAATTAATGTTAATAGTTAAAGCTAAATAACTTATTATATTAAACTATTTAATATTTATATTCCTTTTAAATATATGTTTTAGATTTTTTTATCTTTATATCAGATTTACTAATTTATAGATTTTATAAACAAATATAAAATAATATATAGTTGAACATAATCCAAAAGAAATTTCTATTATTATTATTTTGCAATGACATAAATACTATAAAATATTTATGTTTTACTAGCAGATAAGCCCGGTGTTGCTTGGGCAAAAAGTAACGATAGCGAAGATTAAGATTATTACATTACAGCCAATCTTACCCGTTTTCACAGAATGCAAGAATTATGTTCCCCTGTTTCCAGACTAATTAGAAAAATTTTAGACGGGTCTAAAATTATATTTGATTTAATGCAAAAAACTGCATCTGCGCCTGTAAATCTTGCATGTTGCTTTCTCTTAATTAAATGTACTATGCCAGAAACCTTCGCGGGAGTATATTAAACAACTTCCCAAAGTTTCATGGCAATCAGATAAATGGTGTAGTAATGCATAAAGGATACACAGACAGACATACATTCGTCTTTATATATATAGATAACTGTAATATTTAAAATTTTATGTAATCACATTGATAATCAGTTATCAGAAAATTTTTCACTTCTATATTAGCTAACAGATTTCAAAAGTGGTTGGATACAGAAAATTTAGTATCTAAATATCAGTTTGCATATAAGAAAAACAAAGGTACTAAAATGACTTTATGCTTTTTGTTATTAATTCAATTACATCTAATTAACAAACACACAAAACTTTATGTTGCATTTGTTGATATAATGAAGGCATTTGTCTCACTTCAAGTTCAAACACTGATTAGTGAGACTTAACCTAAAAGGATCTGGAAAGAAATTTAAACTCCAATTTTAAAGTTGTTTTCTAAATATAAAGTTAGTATAGTTCATGGTAATCAAATATTTTCAGAATTTATAATAATTTGTGGTATTCCTCAGGGTGATCCAGTGTCTCCTTATTTAGTCAACTTTTATATGGTGGATATTGATAATTTGTTTCTAGATGAAGATGGAATTCAAATATGATAAAACATATCACTACCTACTTTATGTGGATGATCTTGCTATATTTGCTCCAACAAAAATTTCATTACAACAGAAAATTAATTTATTAAACAATTATTTGAATACTATATATTTGAAAATAAATATTCAAAAATCTAAAACTGTTATATTTATAAATAATATCAAACTATCAGAAAAAGAAAAAAAAATGTATCTGAATGGTCAACTATTAGAATTGGTAAATGGAATAAATCACTTAGAAATATCATTTTCTTGGAATGGAAAGTTTTATTGTCATTTAAATAAATTAAGCTCCAAAATTAAACTGTTAATTGATAATCTGATACATCTATGCTCCTCACTAAAACTATCAATATTAACTTACATGTGAAATTATATAACTCTGTGATAAATTTGTTAATATATTATGTAAGTCGTATTTGGGGTCTGGATTATTTATTCGATTTGTAACATTTTCATATAATTTTTCTTCGTAAATTGTTTACAGTTGAAAGAACAGTGCCAGGTTATGTACTTTGAGGTAAGACAACCAGATTCCAAGTATTTCCTTTTTACTTGAATTTAAAAAGACTGATTAAATTTTATTACAGATTGAAAAATAATAATGACAAATATATCAAGTTTCTTCACCAACTAACAATGAAACAATGATAAAATTAATAAAGACAAATATTTATGGAAATTAAAATTTAATAATATAGTATAATGGTTCAATATCTCCAATTTGCATTTTTCACTGGATGCTCGCCTTCTGGTGTTTAAAAACAAAACTATTTTACCTGGGTTGTTTGAATCATTCTTGTATATTGTCAACAGTAAAGATGAATAGCAATAGAAAAAGCAAAGCTTTTTGTTACATTCCAAATTGCAATTTCAAAGCCATACTGAAGCCCAATATAAGTTTTCATCTATTCATGATTATTTGGAAATCAGAATTTGAAGAATCTCATAAATATAACTGACAGAAAGAGTGGATTTGATTGTTAAGAATTGGCAAAGAAGTTTCCTGATTGTCCAGCATTATATGAGCAAGTTATGCTGTCAATTTTAAAGGATTTTTCCTTAAAGTTTAAAATGCCAGTAATTTTGTGTGGGACACAGGGCTGGATTTAAACATCTCTAGCCCTGAGCTGAACTGTGTGAGGCTCCTTACCAACAGTGGCATATGCTACAGCAGAGCAGTTGGAACAAACTGCTCCAGGTGCACGAATCATGAGGGCACCAAGTTAGAAAGTTTTTCAAAACTAAAATTAATCAAAACTTATTTATGAAGCAGCATGTCACAACACCATCTTAGTTCTTTGGCTACTATATCAATTGAAAAACAATAGATTATCAACTTGATCTGGAGAAAGTGATTGACCGATTTGCAAACAAAAAAGTGAGAAAACAACAATTTTGAATTTTTTTTTGTATTGTTTTATATTTGATATGAAATTAAACTTGCATACATTTTGTCAATACAGTTTATATAATATGCAGTAAATATTATTAGGTACTCTGTACTTAAAGAATCATATTGTTTTATTATTATATTTGTATTATGAAATTGAATTGAATATTAATAATTGAATATCATATTGTCAAAATGTCTTGAATCTCAAACAAATTGTTATTAAGTAAGGCTTTAAATCGGAATAATTAGATATATGTTTTTAAACTGAATGTTCAAAACAAATTTTGTAAGATCTCTTCCGAGGAACTAGGGAGGCACATTCTACTTGTTCCAGGGTGCTGAATATGTAGCTATGCCACTGCTTAACAACCCTTCACAATTTTGGAAATAGATCATAAAAAGAAAAGAATTAACATAAACATATTAACTACATTTTATTTTCTGTAGTATTTAAAGTATAATTTGTTGGTTAGTAAAAAAATTTTTATTACAAAATTTGACTTCAATTTTCTTTTTGGTAGAAATGTTTGAGACTCCATGAAACTTGAGGTTTGAATCCCATACAGTATGTGGACCAGTGCATCAGTATGAAATTAATTATATATTGTCAGATAAAAATTATTGTATCTCTATATATTAATATATTCTTTGAATGATGCATTTTAAAAATTATAGTATTATATAAATGCATTATATTATTTGGACGAATTTTATATAGATTGAATCATATGCTGTAATTTAATCTGTATCTTTATATCAATAGATTAAATATTTACTAGTACTGTTGTAACAGTTTAAACTGTACAAACACAAACACAAACACAAACACACTTATTACACCTGTAACTCCAGCAATAACTAATCTATATAGCTTATTAATTGAAGAAGGGTTTAAGTTTATCAATCAAAGGTAGCCCTGGGGCAGCAGCAGATGAGGAGACTCCATTGGTTGGCGTGGGCAACACAGTCTGAGTCTGTAGTGGCATAGGTTAGTGGTTGGGCACAATGGCCAGAAAACTGCATTTTACATGTTGACTAACCATGTGCAGGTGCACAGTTTGCACAGTTTACAGAAAGTGCTTTTGTCCTTGAAGATCGAGGATTATATTGATCTCCATTCTTTCTTTCATCCATTCTGATTGGCTCCATGTCCTTTTTTTCTTGTTTCCCAATTGTCGAGACCTGTTCAGGTCATGAGAAAGATCTGCTTCAGAGAATCTACCCGACACCATCCATTAGATCTGGATGGAAGGTGCTGATGGAACTTTGAAATCTGTGCTCATATTTTACCTCATTGTTTTCTAGTCTATGACGTTTTAAAATTTTAATGACCTGATGCAATGTCCCTTTTTATCATTAACCTTTCCCCTTTTCAAAATTTTTCTACGTTCTAATTGCTTGTATATGAGTGCCTTGTCAAAGGTCCATCTCTACTGGTCAACATTCATTTACATCTGTTGTGTCATGTTTGACAGTTTTTTTTTCTTGTCTCTGTCTCATATGACTTGCACAACTAATCCAACCTTTGATTGGTTTTAAAAATGACAGTTTTTCTAGTTTTGTTTTAATAAATTTTTATAACAACTTTTAATTTCAACACATTTTTGGAACTTCACATTAGTTTGAGTAAATGGCTATGGCTAAAAATATGGTTCAGGTATCAAATTAAAGCTGAAGAAATATTTTAAAGAAATAATACTACTGAAGAAAAACTTGAGAAAGATGCAATGGTTCAGGTGTGGTGGAGTGACAAAGATACAATGTTAAGTTTATGGGAAGGCAAGTTACAAACATGTTGAGCACTCTTATGCTATCTAGCAATTTAGCTTTCCTAAACCATTTGAATAACCCATTAATCACCACTACTGTAAATTTCTGCTTTGTTTCCTAATTATAAGTTAATTAAAAAATATTTTGTATTATTTTTTTAACAAATTAGTTTTGTCAATATTGACTACATCACCATCTATCAACTTTTAGTACCACTATCCATTTATATTTTATTATTACTTCATGATGAGATCAAAACCTGATTCTAACCATCCAATCCATTACTTAATGCTGATTGATGGCTTTCTTAACAAATTTACCAACTAAAAGAAGAATAAACTTAAACATATGACTGTTGGTAGGTTAATAATTCTATAACAACCAATAAAATTGCCACAAAGCGAGCTGACACTATCTCACTGTTAATGCAAAACCTTGCCAGATGAATTTGATCAATCTTAGGAATGCTAAATTGCCACCTTGGGACCTGGATGCAAAATTGGAAGCCATTAAGAGAGAGGACTGATTGAAGATGCCTCATGATACCAGAGAATAAGTAAATGCAAATCACTTGTAAATGGCCATGAAAACACTTGCTGTACAGATGATTTTTGTATAGAATGCCAAATTTTGAAAGAACTCGTTGTATTTTAATTGAATAAATCCATCAATTTCAACAGGTTCCTGCTAGTNAAATAAATATTATTAATAATAATAAATATATAAACTTGAAAAAAATTAAATAAAAAAATAATTTATTATTGTTACTAAAATTATCTTCTGTGTAATTTTATTCAAAATATTGTAACCTTTTAACAAGGTTTCTTCATGAGATTTGCTTGTTTTAATATTTTAATTTTGTAAAGTTTAATTCTTTTGGTTTAATGTATTTTTTGTTAGACTGAAGAATAAGCAATATCTTAATTGCAAGTATTTATTAAAAAATTAAATCTTAGTCTATTAAAATATTGAAATCTTAGTCAGGATTGTAAAAACAGAAGTACCATAAATAAACTCTTGGTGTCATTTCTCATTAACCTATAACCCATTAATTGTCAATGAGGTAGGTCTACTAACTAGTTTACTAGCACAACCAGTCATATAATATCAATCAACTATAACTTGTAATTGGAATTTAAGATCAGCATATAACCCACCCCATTATACAGGGTGAGCCAACGAAAACGAAACGGCAGAGATATCGCGTTCGTCCAAGCAAATCGCTCGGACAGGTCGATTTTATTCTCGATGGGGACATCTTCAGCAATAAAGTTTTTGCAATTCTGAATACAACAGACAACAAAAAATTTTAAAAACTCATTCATTTTTTATTAACTAAACAAACATTTATTTCAAATAAAGTAACAAAAACTTTCAGAATCGCAAAAACTTAATTGATGAAGATGTCCCCCTTGAGAATAAAATCGACCTGTCCGAGCAATTTGCTTGGACGAATGCGATAACTCTGCCGTTTCGTTTTCATTGGCCCACCCTGTATAATCAGCACAAATCTGCTAAAAAAATACCATTATAAACTTTTGAGATGTATATTCCTTCCCTGTGTGGAAGTTGATTTACAATTTTTAATTTTACAACTCTCTCTAATACAGTCNGTATATTTTGTTAGACTGAAGAATAAGCAATATCTTAATTGCAAGTATTTATTAAAAAATTAAATCTTAGTCTATTGAAATATTGAAATCTTAGTAAGGATTGTAAAAACAGAAGTACCATAAATAAACTCTTGGTGTCATTTCTCATTAACCTATAACCTATTAATTGTCAATGAGGTGAGTCTACTAACTAGTTTACTAGCACAACCAGTCATATAGTATGAATCAACTATAACTTGTAATTGGAATTTAAGATCAGCATATAACCCACCCCATCATATAATCAGCACAAATCTGCTAGAAAAAATACCATTATAAACTTTTGAGATGTATATTCCTTCCCTGTGTGGAAGTTGATTTACAATTTTTAATTTTACAACTCTCTCTAATACAGTCTGTCTTTCTAACACCACCCCAATTAACACTTGGATGGCAGTCCTCTTGCTTTTAACAGCTGTGAAGGTCAGTTAGCCTAAAGATGCCCATTTAACACAGTTGGAAATGTTTGATTTTTTAAAAATTTGTGCTGGAAATTGGTTTCATTTACTTTGTTTATTAAATAACCCAGTTTTGATTAGTTGATTATATAATCAGTACCCCTTTCAAATTATCTTTCAAACACAGATGAGCTATACACCTAAAATTACGGTTATATCAAATAATTATTTAAATAAAAACATTTCTAAAAGTAAACATACCATCTTGAATAACAACAAAATCATTAAAACAAGTTGAATTTGGATTAATATCAACATCAAGAATATCAATATCAAGAATATCAAATCTAACTGCTAACGTTTTAGCAACATTTCCTTCATTTCGAAGTCGCCAAGTGCATTCCGCATTATTGTTGTAAGTTCCATTTTCAAAACCTGGTGAAGAAAATACACCTGATGGAGAGAGTAGTTTACCTCCACATTCTGTAAAAATAAAATAATAAAAGATTAACAAAAATATTGAGTAATTAATTGGAATCTGATCTATTCTAAAGTAATCATTTCATATTTTTATCCATTTTTTAATATATACAAACAAACCAAAGCCAGAATTTTAAAAAAATCATTTTTTAATTTAATTAAATTATAGCACAAAAAATAATATTAAATTATATAAAATAATATAACTGATTTTTTCATTGGTTGGATTCATTTATACAGTAAAACTTCTCTAACTCAAACATCTTTAACATGAATATTTCTTTAACTCAAAGAAAATAAGGCAACTCGGTAGGTTTCAATGGAATGGCATAGTGATTTAATGTCTTCAACTTGAATTTACTAACTCAAATTTTCTTCAAGTCAAAGTTTTTCATGGTCCCCTGACACTGATTTCTGTTACTTTCAACTTCCCTGACTCAAATTTTAATATTTATTTTATTCAAAGTGATCCCAATTATAAGTTTTCCATGAAATTTTCAGACAATTAGTTGTTTTTTCTGTCCAACACCCACTTGAAGACAATATTCCAGTGCAAAGCAAGAGGTCCTCTCACTTTACAGTATCTCAACAAGATACACCTGCAAAACTGTTCAATTCCATTAGTTACATTGATCATTTTGGTGAAAGGCATTAGACAGGCTATTTAAAACAAAAATACTGTCAAAGATTCTTCATATGATGAAGATGGGTAAAAATACAAACCTAATCGGAAATTTACTACACCGGGTTACAATAAATACAAAATCAACGTACCAGGAACCTGTTTCCGGTGTGCTTCTAGGTAAAACCAAAGTGTTACAAACGTTTTCGAACTTCTAAGTTCTTCTTCAGGTAACCGACATCTAAGCGAATGTCATTCAAATTCAATTCAACAAAAAAGAACACCATTAAGAACTCTATCGCACGTATCGATGGCGTCATTGACGCATGCGCCCCTTTTGCTGGTTGTAAATTATCATAAGTTCTTGTCTACGAGCACCTGCCATGCCATTGACAGAGTGATTTCGTCTTTGCTGTTAATACAATTGTCGTCTTTTAGTGTAGTCATACATATGCAGTGGTGATATTCAGCGGGTTCGCACAGGTTCGGCCGAACCCGTTGTTAACATTTTCAAAGTTTTCCGAACCTTGTTAAACACATGTAACATTTCTCAATGGTTTGATTCTTTTAAAAATATTAAAATATACGTATTATACTCTGTAACACTACTAAACTAGAGCCTTCCGATGCACCATTTGAGCGAAAAAAAAATTGTTAAGGAAAAATTTTCTGTTAGCGAACCCTTTGTTAAATATTTCGAATGTCATCACTGTACATATGTACAGGGCCTCTAGCCATCTAAGGTGGTGTGCGTATTTTGTGGTGCGGATTACCTTGGCCTGGCTGAATAAAGGCTCTATTTCCGTATCAGAGACATAGACGGCCAGAGCGGTGGTTTGCCTTGCATGCAGAATATCCGCCAAGTGTTCTTTTATTCTCACCTCCAGTGAGTGCTTAGTGGATCCTACATAGATCAGGCTTCTGTTCCATCTATGGTCTATAATTGGGATGGTATATACCCCTGGGAGTCGTTCTTTGTTGGGGGTATCTTTCCCGTTCCGTAAAATATCAAAAATTGTCGCGCATCTTCTATACGCAATGCGAACATTCTTTTTCTTCGCTATTGTGTTGTAAAGTGATTTCAGGTACGGATTGTATGTAACCGGGATAATACTAGATGGAACTTTATTGGGTGCTTGGTTAAGGGCTACTTCTTGTCCACGCCATTTGCGGATCAATTTAAGTACGATCTTGGGAAAACCATGTTCGTTGGCTATTTGTTCAATACGCCTTAGTTCGGCATATAGGAATATCCGATCAGACAAGTGTGAGTAAGCCCTCTTAATTAAGGCGTTGAAGGCTGCCATTTTATAGTGGGGTGGATCGCACAATCCTATTGGAATGTATAGATGTTCAGCCCCTGGTTTTCTGTATACTTCCGTGTGGGCTACTGTTTGTTCGAACTTGATGTTGATGTCGAGGAAATGCGCTTCAGAAGCGTGAGCTTGATCTATCTCTAAGGTCAGGCCGTATGGATTATCATTGAACGAATCAACTAACATTGAAACATCCAGCTTTAGCCTCCATAAGATGAGAATATCATCTATGTATCTTTTATACAGTAAGATGTTAGGTGAGTATTGAGGGATGACCTTAGCTTCTAATTGTCTGACCACTATCTCGCATAGGTCCCCTGTGATGGGGCTACCCATGGGGACGCCCCTTCCTTGGCCGTACGTGATCCCATTGAATTGGAATAAGGAGTTATAACATATAAGATGCGCCAATTCTAGTATCTGTTGGTGTAAGTTGTTATCATTAACAATGTTGAAAAGGAGGTCTCTGATGGCGCAAAATACTGCCGGGAGCTTAATAGACGGGTAGAGGGATTTAAAGTCCAAGACTGTTATGAAGGTAGGAGGCGCTGATAATTCCTTGAGGAGTGATATTAGGTCTGTTGGGTGTGTCAGAGCATAAGGATATCCTTCCAGCTTAGGCGAGAGTAGGGAATTCGATCCCGGTCGTTATTTCTAATCCCGGGATTTCGGGATTATATTTAGTCAATCCCGGGATCCCGGGATTATTTCGGTATTGAGGGTTAATAAAAAATAAGAAAATCTTACAGAAATCAACAAATCAAAATTTAGACAAAAATCAACATATTTTACAGTATACACCTAGCTAATTTAATCACTCTAACTAATCAGACTCAGAGTCAGACTAACCAGACTTAAAATCACTCAGTCTTCATGTTAAATTTATTCTTTTTTAAGCATCACTGAGATCTCTTTAAACTCACATAAATTGAAAAACCTTTGTGTAACAAACTATGCAAATAAACGTTGAAAATTAACAAAAATCTCTCTTAACCTCGACTAAATAGACTACTTTCATATAGCAACCTAGTAAGTAGGTAGTAA